AATCCAATCTTCATCCGATTTAGACTTAAAGACAGAAATAGCTAATAAATCACCATCGCTTACAAAGTTCTCCGTGAGGTTTGTTTCGCCTGTAGTATTTGTATATCTACTTGCAGCCATCCTTTCTTTATTCTGCAATTTGTAGCAATCCTTCTTCAAGTGCCCATTCTTCTTGCAGTAGTTACAAATTTGATTACTGAACTTAGATTTTGATATGCCCCTTCCAGAACCACCATGAGCAATCAGGCATTCTCCATCTCTAGCGTCAGAAACTAGATACTTCATCTTCTCTTTTAAATACAAAGCATGATACACTTCATCTATAGTGAGAGTATCACGACTATATAAGATCGTGTCTCTAAATGAAGAGAACGAAGTGGGTAACGAACACAATAGGATTAAGGCCAAATCTTCTTCATCATACTCTACTTCCAAAGTTTCCAAATCAGCGACGATCCCTTTAAATACAGTCAGGTGATCTTTCAATGATCCTCCTTCTGCCATTCGATAAGAGTATAAACGCTGCTTCAGGTTCAACTTGCTTGTCAGACTTTTAGTCATGCACAATTGCTCCAACTTCAACCGTAAGCACCTACTGAATTCTCCTTCAAAATATCCTGAAGAATGGTATTCGATAGATGAAGATGAATGTGAGAAACTGCCTTCTTATCCTTTCGTAATTTTTCATCCGCGGTCAAAATTACGGGCATCTTGTCAATTCTCGGCAACGCATCATCCAAATCCAGCTATGTGAGTAATGCACGCATCTTAACCGCCATAGTGAAAATCTAGCGCTCCGATCCAAAAGCAGAATGTCATACTTCATGGAAGCCATCACGAATAAAAAAACCTCGAACAAATCAAATCTTGCGCTCTTACGGAACTGTTGAACCTGGCGCTTTGATACCAATTGTTGTAAAACAAACAAAATACCAGAATAGCTCTGGTACTAATTGTTGTAAAATAAACAAGATATTAGAATAGTTTTGATACCAATTGTTGTGAAACAAACCACCAGATAGAGATGTTGAAGTTATATGGCAAAATAATAATGAAGTATAAGATCAAATAAAAGAATAATGAAGACAAGAATATGATAGAGGAATTAAGAAATTTTATTGACTCAAAAATAATGGAGAAGAGATAAAAATTACAATAGATCCTATAATTCTAGTAATCTATTTTCTCATACCGCTGAAATTGTATAGAAGAACCTAATATTTATAAGAAACATGTAAGGGACATCGAAACACTCTTAGTAGAGTTGTTGATGAAGTAGGATACCGAAAATTGAGTCCAAAACAAATTCCAACTCCCAATGGGCTTCCAAAATAGAACTTCAACTTGACGTAAGACTTCAATAATATTCCAAATTTGAATTCTTTATAGCGTGCACTTCAATTAGAATTTTTCAATACTTCAAATAAGAAATTTGGGTCACATCCAAATTCTAACAAGGAGAACGAACAATATTTTACAAGATCATAATACATTTTGAAGCATAACATCTTCCATATTTTTGCTTCGCCATTTTTCATTGTCATTACAGCTCCATTCAATTTTACCAATTTTCATGGAAATGAAGTTACAAAGTTAAAACCGAGTTGCCATCAACATTGCACAGATTTTGGCTCTAAGATCATCAAAGACCTCAGTCGTCGCTTCCTGGGGTTGAGATGGGGCCCCTCTGGAACAAATTCCTATACATTAAGTGGAGTTTCTCTACAAACATGGCCGCTAGCACTTCCTCTAGAATCATCTGAAGCTTTGGAGCTGATCTCACCTTCCTCCAACTCATCTCGTTCTATGTAAGATGCCTTTTTATGTTTATCCAAACAATAACAACGCTGATGCCCTTCATCCGATGAGTAATTGTCCTTAGTGTAGTCTCGAGATTCTGTGTCTTTAGAAGAATGCCTTTCTTTTGCCTACAACTGCGTCTACTATGAAAGGAATTTGTGGCACAATGATGCTAATGGCTATTGGGCCAAATTCTGTTGGCCCAGCTGGAAATGAAACCCAGCCCACTGTATCTGTTTACTTGCTGGAAGAAAAAACGTGTTGGTCACTTGAGCTAAAATCGTGTTTCCTTTTTTTTGCCTAATATTTTGGACACCTGTGATGTCACCACGTGTCACCTCCAACGCCGTTGGATAGGCGACTGTAGAGTGACTCACATAAAAGGGGTATTAGGGTTTGAGGCTCATTCGATTTTCAGTTCTCTAGATCCTTCATTTTCTCTCTCTGGCTGCGCTCTTTTTCTCCTTCGAGTTCTTCTTCTTCTCCTGCAGAAATCATTCTGATTTCTGGCTTCCTTCTCTTGACTGTGTGAAATCTTGGGTGATTTACTTGGTCGAGCATCGGTTCTTGTGTGAACTGTGTGTTGGGTTAGAAGATAGATCTCATCTTGTGTGATATAAACGCCAAGTCTGAGTGTCCCCCTTTGTATTCCTACCATTGGGTACTGATTCGAGTATATTCTGTGGTTATCCTTGAGGACTGAGAGGCTGAAACTGAAGAACCGAAACCTGTGGGTTTCGACCATATAAAAGCTACGGTTCCTTTTCTTTCTTTCAGTTTCGTGTATTAAATTTGTACAACTTAGAAGTTACTGCAATTTCAGTATTTGATTGTGTTCGAATATTGTAGTTCACTGAATCCTGCAATATATACTTTACGGGTTTTTCAATTTTGTGTTCAGATCTTGTTTTGCATATATATATTTGATTGATTGTTTGAGCTAATGGTTTGATCTCCTCCCAACATACTATGATGTGAAGAACAATGTGAATTGTGACTCTTCCCTGAGGGTCTGTGGTGCCTTTCCTCTTCATCATCTTCTTCCTGTGAATATCGTTTACATCTCTTCTTTGAGCATCACGAGAAGAATGGTGAGATCGATGCTTCTTCATAGACCGTTTACGATCCTCGTCATCTCTCTCATATTCATCTTCATCTTGTGGTGAACTAGGAGACATGTGCATCCTTTTTGAGTGCTTATGATCCCTGTCCTCTTCACTTTTTTCCCCGTCTTCCAGAGAAGAAGAATGAGAATGGCGTTTTTTCCTCGAGTGCTTCATCTCTGTTTCTCCTCTACATAGATCCTCCTCCTCGTGTATTCCAGAGTTTGACCTATACTTCCATCTTGGGTACTGTTCATTATGCTCCTTTTTATCCATTTTCATCACCGTCCTCATCCTCGCATTCCCAAGATCTTGATCTATACTTCATTCTTGATATTCTCTCATTATGCTCCTCACCAAAATTATCCCTCTCAGGCTTTTCATCAATAGCCAGCTTATCAACATCTACGAGAGCTGAGCTGCATTCTCGTTGTTCATCAGTAAGATTAACCTCACAAGCATATTTCGAGAGTCCAGATTCTTGAGGTTGTAAAGATGAGCCACGAGATGTTCCAGTTTTAAAGGGCACAGCTAGACTTTTCAACATGGCGATAAACATTTTAGCCCTTTTGAGCCTCTCAGTTTTCAGCTTTTGCTCCTTGGTCAAGTGTGCCTCAGAAGAATCAGCCTCACCAGCAACTTCAAGAGCAGTTGTTCTAGCAATTGTCTTGGTAGCAGGAACATAAACATTATGACCTCCATTCCTATCAGACTTTTCAGTTGTGCCATGAGGTTGAGAAAAAGGACGACTGCCTAAACTAGAAGCCTGGTTATCTTTACTGCTATGGCAATGATTAGAATTCAAAAGTGTGCTTGAAATTATCCCCAAATTTGGATTCTTGATGCCTCTCAGGCAATCTGAAGAATAGCGGCTGCAGTAGCAGCATCCACAGTGACTCCAAATTCTTGTTGTGTTCCTCTGCATTGGGTCTCCTGTGCATCCTTCTTTGATTTGCCTATCGTCATCTTAAACTTCTCTTTCCTGTCAAATTCAAATGTAGTGTCATAACCCAAGGATGAAGAATCACCATCCTCAAGTGCATGAGCTTTCTTGTCCATCCTTTGTCCTACTGGATCATCTTGTCCAAAATGGAATCTGTTGTCGTTTGCTTTTGACTGAAAGGGAATCGAAGGACATTATCAGAGTGGAAAAGCAGGAAACACTGCAAAATCAACTTGATATGTAAACAAAAATTAACTAGACTTTCTCCACGTGAATTGCTGGCAGTTGTATATATGATCCAATTTGAAGCAGTAGGCATGATGGCAAGAGTAAACTACACACAGTTGATGTTTTCTCATAATAAAGCAGAATATAATGTCGTATACACTTTTAAGGAGTAGAACAATCACTGTTCGTGTGATTCCGCAAATGTACAGATCGTTACAAGTAAAAATTTGGATTTATCAAGTCCGAATATCGTCCTCATCGAGACTACTATCTCTATAAATTTTTAAACTAATCTAGCTTCAATTTACATTAAAATGGTCACTAATTATATAAATCAATTTGTGTT